AATCATTAGTATACCAATGCAATATCTTATCTATTGAGAATCCCGAAAACATAAAAATCTATATAGGTTGCACAAGTCAAAAAGAAAACTTTTCTTTACCGATATTATCGTGGTATATGTAAGAATTTTATTTTGCAACAAGTATTTATAAACAGAAGTAACACAGTCGTTAGGTTTTTCAATATTTTTTATTTATTTAAGAGTACTCCTAAATATACTTCAGGCTAACTGTGGAAGTCAAGGTAAACTATGGAAGATGGTAAGTGATGTAATTTAATGTTTAATAAACGATAGTGAGTAAATATTGTTTATGTTGATGAATTCTTTTTCAATGTAATTATTATTTATTTATTTAATTATTACACACACGAAAACACACATACACACACGCATTCAGATTAGCTTAACCTTTCCACCTTAAAAACCATCATTTGAATTTTTTTACTTTTACTTGTGGACAAATAGATAGATAGATAGATAGATTGAATATATATATATATATATATATATATATATATATATATATAGTCATCCACATAGAAGCTATATATATATATATATATATATATATATATATATATATGTATGTATGTATGTATATAAATGCAACGTAGACTGGCCTCTGTGTGACTGGCAATTGTTCTAAAGAGGAACACTATGAATCCCAACTGGAGAAAAGTCGACGGTTAAGCAACTAAGGAAATTTGACACGGTCATATCAATTTACATATGTTTAAGAGGTTGTTTAAGAGGTTGTGAATAGACATTATTTTCTCAGTTTGGACTGGATTTGTTAAAATCTAAATCTGATGCCCTACTTAAATGCTGCCAACGGTGTTTGAAATCTCGTCGCTTTTTGCAATTTGGAAATAAATATGCGTAGAAAAGCCTGGCAGAGTTATTAAAATTATCCTTTTTTCGTCTTAAGTATTAGATGCCTAAATAAAACTATTGCAAAAATATACATTATTTAAGAGTATACACTTCTACCAGATAGTCTATATATCAATCGATCTACCCATTATATATATTCACTTAGAATATATATGTATGTATGTATGTATGTATGCGTATGTGTGTGTGTGTGTGTGTGTGTGTGTGTGTGTGATTATGTAGACAAGGGAAGGGAGGAAGAGAAAAATAATGATTATGAAATATTAATTTAATTGTTTTGATTGGTTTATGCAAAAAAGATCCATCGATTTATCTTTTTTATTTACATATTAATTTCGTGTAAGAGCTCTCACGGATCCAAAGGACATTAATCATGAATCTATCCCAATTTCAATAGGCTTCGTTTCCAGTACGTGTCACTATTATTTTTATTTTTTTTATAAAGAAATTATAAAGAAATTTAGATTTATTTATTTTATTTATAATAAAAAGAAACTCCCACTATTTTCAAGAATTTCATGAAGAACAAAGTAGATATCAAATAATAAAAGATTTAGAAATTAATTTGCTGTCCACCTAATGTAAAATGTTTGGTAATTACTTCTGTAGAGTTTCCTTACAAATGCAGAAGAAATCTTATACAGCGAATATGTCGTTCTAATGTAGAGACTACAAAGAAATTAATATATAAATTCAGAAAAAAAAAACATTTTAAACTTCTGGACAACTTAAACTTTTACTTCACACTGGACCTATGCCTACATCTGTCTTAATTCGATGGATTCTTCAGACAGAGTTGAAATTTTATATCCCAGGAATATATATATATATATATATATATATATATATATATATATATATATATATATATATACATGGTGTATCAAAAATACTTTTACAAACTTTGGGGGCAGTCCCACAAAACTAAAGACAAAAGTCAATATGTCCTCAAATCCTTCATTTTTGAGTTATTAAGTCTAAAGTTTACGGTCGACGACGCTGTGTTGCCATGTAGACTAGGTTACATTTGTCATTCGTGTACATTTGTGGCTAGTCTGTCTTCGACGTTTAACGTGTGTAGTAGTGAGTTAACTGAGAAGTGTTCCGTTTAACATTGGCAGGATATTCATATCATGAGCAGGCAGATACGATTTTACATACAGCCGCACGAATGATAATAGACGCGAGGCTGCACGGCTGTATCAGATTATGTTTCCAGACCGAAGGCAGCCTAGTTATCCAAAAATTGCTGCTGCTTATCGCTGCGTTGCTGAGACAGGATCCGTAGCACCACACTCTATGGATCGATGACGCCTGACCACGAAGAACACATTCTAGAGGCTGTCAGAGACGATCCAAGTATCAGCACACGTCAAGTGGCCCGAGCATGACGTATATCTCATAGTACCACATGGGGGGTGGGGTACTTCAAGAGCAGCTCCTGTATCCGTAACATGTGCATGGTCATTCGCCCTCTGATCACTCACCACAGAACTTTTGACGATAGTTTACTGCACAAACTGCCGATCCGTTCTTCAGTCTTGTTTACGGATGTGGCAACATTTGAAAGAGAAGGAATAACAAATTTACACAACCAAAATGTGTGAGCGGTTCAGAATTCCCATGTTACAATACAGGTTAGATGCTAGCATCAGTTTACGATTAATGTATGTGCTGGAATTGTAGGTGACCTTCTGTTTAAGACACACTTCCAGACCTGCTAGAGGATGTACAGCTGCTAATACGAAGACACATGTATGTTCATGCATGATGTGGCTCCAGCACATTTTAGTCACATTGTTCTCGATGCACTGGCTGACATCATGAACGATGGAGAGGTAGGGGAGGACCGGTTCCATGGCCCTACGTTCCTCCAACCTCAGATTCTTGGAATTTTATCTGTGGAGCCACCTAAAACAATTGGTTTATGCAGCAGACATTAATAATTCAGAGACGCTTCATCAACGTGTCATGGCGGTCTGCGAAACCATTCAACACCGTGTGGGGGTATTTGAAAGGGTCCGTTAGTCAATTATCCGCAGGGGTGCATGCGTATGTAAAAATAAGCAGAGGACATTTTGAATATTTGGTATTAGTTGCTGTGTTGAGATACGACGATGGCCTTTTGCACATATGTTTATATGGACATTTTATTTTGTTTTGGTTTATGGAACCCGCCCCCAAAGTTCGCAAAACTATATGTGGATTGTATCTTGGATTGTATATTTAACCGTTGACACGCCATATCAGAGAGAGAAAAGTTGGACACGTGTTGACTGTCCTAAGGTTGCTGGCGAAGAGATTGAATTAAACGTCTTTTGGCAGGGTGTTCGACATGTTTTTGTTACATGCTGGGAAAACTTTTCATTGTTTTTATTTTTCACTTAATTTATTTTAAACAAGGTTTTATTTTGTTTTATTCTTAATTTTCATTATTATTATTTTTTATATTTTATTTATTTATAATAATAATCTCTTTACAGCCTAAATGTACCAAGGTTATTTATATTATTTTGTTTTTGTTGATTTTGTAAGCTTATTTCTTTGCATTATATATGTACTTAGATCATTTCTATGACGTAGAAAGTGAGTTAGAAGGAGAAGCGAATCTTGGGAGACGCCTGCCTTGATCGCTTGGGCCTCGGAGAACTGGCCGTTAACAATGACCTAAAAAGGTAAGAAAGATTACTGAGAAGGACTTTATCACTGAGAAGACACTTCCGGTGATTCCATAACTCGAGGGATTTGTGTATTAACTCTTTATGCCACACCTTTTCAAAGTCATTTGAAATATCTAATGCGGTCGTCCTTGAGATGTATTTATTGTCTAGTGTCTCACTGATTCGTTGAGTAATGTCAATTAGGTTATCAACCCTGAACCGGGCCGATAGATCCCAGTAGTGTTTATCGCTCTCAAAGAGGTTGTCCCTATTCTTGTTGTTTATAGCTTCAAAAAGATTGATAATGATTCTGTGGAAACTTATGGGTTTATGCTATGTCGAGGCTTGAGCCCTCATCCCTTACATAGTATAGACCGAGTCGTGAGAAAGGGGAAATCGAGGTTGAGATAGCCTTTGTCAGCTGATGTTGACTTGATTATACATTTATTCACTGATACCATTATACTTTTTCCCAGTGATACAATTATACCCTTATTTTTAATACAGTTATACCTTTTCTCTTTGATAAAATTATAATTTTATGCACGGATACAAGTTTACCTTTAATCAGTAATACAATTATATCTTTACACTCTGATAAAATGATACCTGTACTCCGTGATACAATTAAACATTTTCTCTCTCCACGGAACCAAATGTGTCGGTTGACCTATTGTTTAAATGTGATGTCTAACGCTGTGTAATACTATGGCTGAAGGATTGAATGGGATTGCAATCCATAAGAATTTACGAAGAATTTCGCGAAAAATCTTTGGACATGTAAATTGCTTCCTATGACACTGTTTGCAGAGAGTTCTGATTGGATATTTGGAAAATCCCGGAACCCAAGATCGCGTTGAACCCCCACTCGGGCGTTGAGCGAGAGTCAATAAAAAGATCAGATTCTAAATATACCAGAAGAAGACGATCACTTCGCCGATCCCCCACGTGACTTGCTGCCACCGGGAATTCCCGCATGCATTCCATCGTAGTCTAATTTTGTGATTTTGTGATACTTTGGTCTTCGTTTCCAAGTTGGAGTCGCGGTTTCAAGCTTTAAGTCAGAGACTTCTTCAGGCAGCAAATTACTGGAATACTGACAAAACATTTGTCTTCTCTCTCTCTCTCTCTCTCTCTCTGTGTGTGTGTGTGTGTGTGTGTGTGTGTGTGTGTGTGTGTGTGTGTGTGTGTGTCTTTCAATTCTTCAAGTTTGCAATTTAATCGAGGCACTCTGTTCAATTTATCTAATAGTCTGGAACAAATTTTGACTATTTTTAAACGTACCCACTAATATGATTGGTATGATTGCTATTTATATGTTTGAACACTCCACTAAAATTCTAATTCTTAAAGCATCTGAAACTTTTATGAAAGAGAAACCACAGTTCGGATTAAAATTTAAATTTATTTATTTCATTTCTTTTTATATGTATTCATCTATTTAAGATGTTTCCAGTCTGACATTTGATTTCTTCGATATCAAAAATAACGATGCTATTCAGACGTATTCTACATGGAAACAGGAAAATGTGAGTATGAATAATTTCATCCTGTCTTAATTTCGGTCAAATGTTTTCTGATTTGTACAACATTTTTCTAAATTATTCTAATTAACATTAAAACTACCATAAATATATATTATTGAAAAGCTTTGATCTTTAAAAAGAACTATTTTAAAATTTTCCATGAAGTCTGAAAAATGTCAGGACTGTCCTTAATGCAACAAAGCATCACCGTGTATATAAAAACTTGAAACAAACCATGATACAAAAACTAAAAAGAATTTTAAAAATAATATTGAATGTGTTCTTCGTGGTCAGGCGGAACTTATGGTGCCACAGATCATGTCTCAGCAACGCGATGATAAACAGCAACAAAAGTTGGATGACTCGGCTGCCTTCGGTCTGGAAACGTAATCTGATACAGCCGTACAGCCTCATGTCCATTACCATTATTGCGCGGCTGTGTGTAAAAATCATATCTGCCTTCTCATGATATGAAAATCCTGTCATTGTTAAACGGAACACTTCTCAGTTAACCCACTACTACACGTGCTAAACGTTGAAGACAAACTAGAAACAAATGTACACGAATGACAAATGTAAGTTAATCTACATGGCAAACACAGCGCAATCTACTGTAAACGAAAGATTTTTGGACATATGTTTAGAGGGATCTTTTGTCCTTGTTTTGGTGTGAGGAACCAACCCTCCAAAGTTTGTAAAAGTATTTTTGCTCTATTCTGTATTGCTGTGGCCTTTAACTTTAAAAGCTGTAGCTTTGCCAAATGAACAAATCAATTACATCGTAGAGTTTCCTATTTATAAAACCTGACTTGAATCTTTTTTGAAAAGAAAACTTTGAAATACCATTTGAAGGTTAACGATACACTGAATGATCCCTTAACTTTCCGAAATTTTCTCAATATACTTTTAGCCATTTTTGTCGCGGAATTGTCTATGACCAATTTATGTTTTGTTAATTTATGTTTCTATAACAAATAACATTTTCTCAGCATTATCTTCCATTCCTCTACAGAGTTTGTGGATGATGTGAGATTATTACCGTTTTGGGTTAGTTTCAGTAATGAACGTCATCGAAACGACCTCATTACTCATATATTAGTCGAGAACAGTGGAATAATGGTGGAAAACAGAGATAATGTGTAGGCACTGGGAATGGAGAAGATAGAATTCAAATAATAAGTAATTCCAGTACACTAGTTTCTAATAACCTGTTACTCAATGTTTCCTCTGTGAGCTTACTGACCTAAACAAAAATTACACATCCGGAAGAAAAAAGAAACAAGAATATCACTCTTTCAGGAACAAGTTTACTGTGATAAGCATAAAGGAATAATAATAATAATAATAATAATAATAATAATAATAATAATAATAATAATAATTTGATCCTAAGTGATTAGAGTTTAACAAGTTCATGTTTTTCTTAGTGCATTAAAATGGGACACAGTAAATATTCTATTCACTGATTTTCTTGCCATTTGTCTGACCGTACCCAGTTGGGCGTGTCATCTAAAGACCGGCGCATTATGCATCTCTGTTCATGAGCTTGGATAGTGGGGGTGCATGTTAGCTGAGTGTTGAGAGGGTTGCAATTTTTTACGTTTGAAGAGTTAGGAAGCCAATGTGATTTTTAAGTCACATCTAGATACTTGGGAACGCCCTCAATCTGAGCGGCCTGGGTTACATGACCGGATGTTTATGTGCTACCTTTGTCAAAACTCGTCATCATATCGCGCACATTTGGCTGTGATGCGTGTGCGTGGTATACCCTTATCATAATGGATATATACGAGCGTCATTTTGTTGGCGTGCTACTCTCACGCCCAATAATAATAATAATAATAACCCTCAGAAAGCACTGGGAACTATGCAGGAATTATAGCCTCGAGTGCACAGAGAAATGTTACCAATGACCAAGTGAAGTTCATAAGGGATGCGACCATCTTGACTGAGAAGCGCTTAGTGAGCAATCTCCCTGATATCACACTTTTGCACAAGAACAGTCATGAATGGATTCTGATAGACGTTGTGATACATTGAGATAAGAACACGGTGAAGAAGAGGCAAATATACGGAGAGCTACATTGACCCGGAAGTAAAATCTATGAAGAAGAGGCAAATATACGGAGAGCTACATTGACCAGGAAGTGAAATCTATGAAGAAGAGGCAAATATACGGAGAGCTACATTGACCAGGAAGTGAAAACTATGAAGAAGAGGCAAATATACGGAGAGCTACATTGACCAGGAAGTGAAATCTATGAAGAAGAGGCAAATATACGGAGAGCTACATTGACCAGGAAGTGAAATCTATGAAGAAGAGGCAAATATACGGAAAGCTACATTGACCAGGAAGTGAAATCTATGAAGAAGAGGCAAATATACGGAGAGCTACATTGACCAGGAAGTGAAATCTATGAAGAAGAGGCAAATATACGGAGAGCTACATTGACCAGGAAGTGAAAACTATGAAGAAGAGGCAAATATACGGAGAGCTACATTGACCAGGAAGTGAAATCTATGAAGAAGAGGCAAATATACGGAGAGCTACATTGACCAGGAAGTGAAATCTATGAAGAAGAGGCAAATATACGGAGAGCTACATTGACCAGGAAGTGAAATCTATGAAGAAGAGGCAAATACGGAGAGCTACATTGACCAGGAAGTGAAATCTATGAAGAAGAGGCAAATATACGGAGAGCTACATTGACCAGGAAGTGAAATCTATGAAGAAGAGGCAAATATACGGAGAGCTACATTGACCAGGAAGTGAAAACTATGAAGAAGAGGCAAATATACGGAGAGCTACATTGACCAGGAAGTGAAATCTATGAAGAAGAGGCAAATATACGGAGAGCTACATTGACCAGGAAGTGAAATCTATGAAGAAGAGGCAAATATACGGAGAGCTACATTGACCAGGAAGTGAAAACTATGAAGAAGAGGCAAATATACGGAGAGCTACATTGACCAGGATATGAAATCTATGAAGAAGAGGCAAATATACGGAGAGCTACATTGACCAGGAAGTGAAATCTATGAAGAAGAGGCAAATATACGGAGAGCTACATTGACCAGGAAGTGAAATCTATGAAGAAGAGGCAAATATACGGAGAGCTACATTGACCAGGAAGTGAAATCTATGAAGAAGAGGCAAATATACGGAGAGCTACATTGACCAGGAAGTGAAATCTATGAAGAAGAGGCAAATATACGGAGAGCTACATTGACCAGGAAGTGAAATCTATGAAGAAGAGGCAAATATACGGAGAGCTACATTGACCAGGAAGTGAAATCTATGAAGAAGAGGCAAATATACGGAGAGCTACATTGACCAGGAAGTGAAATCTATGAAGAAGAGGCAAATATACGGAGAGCTACATTGACCAGGAAGTGAAATCTATGAAGAAGAGGCAATATACGGAGAGCTACATTGACCAGGAAGTGAAATCTATGAAGAAGAGGCAAATATACGGAGAGCTACATTGACCAGGAAGTGAAATCTATGAAGAAGAGGCAAATATACGGAGAGCTACATTGACCAGGAAGTGAAATCTATGAAGAAGAGGCAAATATACGGAGAGCTACATTGACCAGGAAGTGAAATCTATGAAGAAGAGGCAAATATACGGAGAGCTACATTGACCAGGAAGTGAAATCTATGAAGAAGAGGCAAATATACGGAGAGCTACATTGACCAGGAAGTGAAATCTATGAAGAAGAGGCAAATATACGGAGAGCTACATTGACCAGGAAGTGAAATCTATGAAGAAGAGGCAAATATACGGAGAGCTTACATTGACCAGGAAGTGAAATCTATGAAGAAGAGGCAAATATACGGAGAGCTACATTGACCAGGAAGTGAAAACTATGAAGTAGAGGCAAATATACGGAGAGCTACATTGACCAGGAAGAAATCTATGAAGAAGAGGCAAAATATACGGAGAGCTACATTGACCCGGAAGTGAAATCTATGAAGAAGAGGCAAATATACGGAGAGCTACATTGACCAGGAAGTGAAATCTATGAAGAAGAGGCAAATATACGGAGAGCTACATTGACCCGGAAGTGAAATCTATGAAGAAGAGGCAAATATACGGAGAGCTACATTGACCAGGAAGTGAACTCTACCGAGCAGCAGCTCAAGTTGTTCCTTTTTCAGTCGGTGCACGCAATACAATTTCCAAGAATCTCTCTATTTCACAAGATACCTTGTGGATAGCAAACATCATTGGGAGTGCGCGCTGGTGGCAGCACTGTTTCGAACAGCTCATCTGCTAAGGAAAATGTGTCTCTAAACTGTGAACAGAAGCTCAGATATGACCATCATCATCCGACTGAATCATGGAAGAGTCGGGAATGACTGAAGAAATAAAAAGAAATTAAAAAAAGTCAAATGATGGAACTCATATAATCGCTCGTTAGGAGTTGTCATATTTGGTCATGCTACAATAGTAGTTGCCTAAGACCAACAGGATTAGATAAGACATTAAAAAATGCCATATCTACGAGACAAAGCTAGAAAATAAAAAAAAACAACTGAAGTTTAGGACAGAACCCCTTTCACTTTTAGAAAAGTGCATATTATAATGCTCGAAACGTTTGAAAATGAAAAATGAAAAAAATTACTGAATGAATTATAACAGATCAGTTCTTGCAGTATGTCTTTTATTTTTGTTTAACTTTTTTATTTTTAAATATTTATAGTTTTTATGTTTTGAGGTTTTTGTTATTTACTTTCTTTTTTGTTTTGTAGATTGCACTATTCAATCTGAATTCATCTGAAAGTATTAATTGTACAGAATACGAATTGTATTACACGGCATATTGCAGAAAATCCTCGACACTCCAACGTAAGTCGCTGAGAAATGTTATCAAATTGTTCTTTATCTTATTGTGCAATCAGTGAAAGTTGTCTTTAGTAAGCTCAACTTTATAAAATCACTAAATGATCTTTCGGTTGTATGTACTTATTTTTCATTGGTAAATATTTCTCAGACTAGATATCAACTTCGATGTTACTGAAATAAACACAAACTTTTATATCATGTGCTAATTATCTTGCTGGATTCGGATGTTTGGGGTTCTCACTAGGATATCTATGAATTCAACCATATAGCATAGTTGGCGCTCAGTCCGGCTCTCTCTCTCTCTCTCTCTCTCTCTCTCTCTCTCTCTATCTATCTATCTATCTATCTATCCGTCTCTTTTATATTGGTTCGGTTTGGCATCCGTCCGTCTCGGGAGACGATGGAGTAGCGCTCAGTGCGCTATGAGCGAGCCTGGCCGGGATGTATGGAGAACTAGAACTGCCTAGACGTCTAGTTCCCCTTCTCGGCCTTGCTAGCAAAGTACAAAGTAGAGGATAAACCAATACAGTTTGGTGCCAGCGCGGCTGCAGGAGTTGGCGGAAGGTAGCACAAACTGCCGTCCATCCGCCTTAGGGGCTCCACTCCGGATTTGTGTAGGGTTTACTCCTTAGCCTTTCTTTCTACCGAAGATTTCCACAAGGCAGTGGAGCTATTTAACCCATAACTGGAGTTTGGAACATGGGCACCAGGGCATGTCCACACACCGGTGGGCCTGCATGCTGCATGTTAAGGGGGCCAAATTCTTGCCCAGTCCCCTGTAGTTTAGCCCGAGTTCGGTTGCCATGTGTCGCCACGAGGAGGCACTACATAGAACTTGCTGATGGAGAGGCTATATACTGGAAGGGGAAGACTTACGCACTCGGCTCCCCTTTTCGCATTTCTACTAGACAGCGGCGGTAACTGAAAGCGAGAAGCGACAAGCACTACCACTACAGAATACCACACTAGACGCATCACAACAGCCGTATATATATATATATATATATATATATATATATATATATATATATATATATAAACAAAATGGACGTCATTATTTAACCTTTAGAACCCTTTCGGCCAACGCTATTTCAAAAGTTATTCTTTCGCAAAAAAAAAAAACGCAATCGCGTTCCAACTTTCCCTCCTCATTCGTTATTTATTATTATTGAGTCTGATTGTGTTTTTTGTTTCGTCAACGAATATCTTTTGAAAAAGCATTGGCCGAAAGGAAGATCCTAAAGGTTAAATAATTAATGATGTCCATTTTGTTTAAATCTATTTTCTATTTCTGCGGGTACAAGTCTTTATTTTGTGTATATACATATATATATATATATATATATATATGTGTGTGTGTGTGTCAAAAGATTCTAACATATATATATATATATATATATATATATATATATATATATATATATATATATATGACCTTGTTATTTATATTCAGGAAAATCTTCCAATAGCAAGGGAATTATCTCTCGAGTCTCCACATAATTCTTTCATATTCTTTCGACTTTCGTTATTGCACTCTGTTAGCAATCTCTTTTTCCTTTATCGCTCTCGATCTTCTCAGCACTCCAATATAGTCGACAAATCTCCTGACAGTACAGAAATCTCTCTCTCTCTCTCTCTCTCTCTCTCTCTCTCTCTCTCTCTCTCTCTCTTGGTCTCACTCTCTTGGTCTCACTCTCTCTTGATCTCTCTCTTTTGCTGGTATTCAGACTTTCAATTTATCCAATCGCTTACTGAAATCATGAATTTCCCTCTTTGCTCCCTTAATAAATCTGATCAACAGGCTTACTTGATTTGATCCTTTCCTCCTAGCTCTTGTCGAGTACCATAAGTCTTTTCTCTTGGCAATTCGGATTACGTTGTAGTATCTTTCCGTTACTAGAATACTGATTGGGATTCATTCCGTGACTTTATTCAAGACACCCTTTGGATTGATATTCTTAACCTTCCTATTGAGAATTGTACCACTTCAATTGACTAGATGCAACCGTAAGTTTTTTGATAACAATGCAATGTCAATCGTTATCTTCTGTTTTCTTAATTCCTCATCTTTAAATCTTCTCACTCCTTATTAATAATGTTTTTGTTTTTTTTCCTTATTCTTTCATACTCAGTAATCCATTATGTTTCAATGGCTCACTACCTTGCTTGGGGTGAAATGATTAAAACATATAGATATATATATATGTGTGTGTGTGTGTGTGTGTGTATGTGCCTGCACGCGTGTGTTCTAACTAACTACAGACAATAATCAAACAGATTGCACAATTAGATTATTCTAAAAAAAACATTTTCAGTGACGCCAAAAAGATTATGAAACATCACTAAAAGACAGCGGATTTTGAGCCCCACACCCACATTCACATATCCCCACACGCTCACATACACACATCCACACACACATCCACACAATGCAAGAAAGAGAACAGAAAAAAGAAACATCATATGGTTTAATCCATTGTACAAAAATCGTAAAAACAAACGCAGGAACAATATTCATTAAACTCATATACAATCACTCGCCGGCATCAAACACTTTCCACAAGATATTCAATAAAATCACAGTAAAAAAAAAAGCTATAGTTGCACCGATAACATAGTACAAATAATAAAAAGTCACAATACAAAAATAGCCAAAAATCACCTACATAAACCAAATACATCTGTAACTGCTGAGCAAAGTACAGATGTCCCTTAATCAGCAATTGCTTGCAAAACAATATAATATACCAAATCACTGTAAAAAATAAAAAAAGACACACATAGGAGTAACTGAAGGACCCTAGAAACAAAGAAAGTGTGCACACTAAACATCCTTTACCAATATTAAACATACGAAATGCACAACCCTTACTAGACATATATGAAACATTAAAGACAAAAAACAAAATACACCAAAAATATAATATAAAATGAAGAAAACAGTATCAACCGACAATAATAAATCCAAAAACTGTAAACTTTGGTGGAGAAAATATCTATAATCACCTTCCCAGACAAATACAAATTACTAAATAAACAATCAGAATTTATCTCAAAATACAAACACGAAAATAAATTTTTACTGCGGTACTTACAAATCGTAAACTAAAAACAAATACTTTGCCAAATGCCACCAGAAAAAATGCAAATATAAGCTCTATATGCAACTCATGTAATTATGTAAAATGCTTTAAACAAAGACAATATAAACAAATAAGATAAGCAACCCCCAAAAGAACAAAAGAAAATTAACAAATAAATAATATTAATTAATTAAATAATAAACAAATGAAAACACTAAGAATTACATAATATTGATTAATCCGGAAAATGGGTGGTTCGTCAATAATCTGCGTATATGAAAATACCGAAAAATCAGTGGTGCATTTAAATTGGTCTTTCGAAAGTTTTGCTCAATATATATATTTGTTTCTTTTATTCTTTTATATTTTACATTCATAGTTAACATCTCCGAAGTGGATTGTCCCCAAAAGCACAGCTTTGGATCGTCACAAATAAAAATCACTTTAAATAATGAAACAAATGTATTGAATTCATCTGGAATACTTTGTGGAAATTCCTCTTCATTTGAAAGGATTCATATATTTGTATTTCACCAGCTTCAATTGGAAAATAAAATCATTGTACCTTATGAACCAGAATGGAATCTAAATGTTGTAAGTCAAATGATATTATTCTTTCATTTCTTTCTTTCAAATTTACAAAAAAAAATACGCTTGTTTTGCATTTGTCATTGTTTAACTAAAAAGGACAGCACATGTAACTTGAAGAGAAAATAATGACATAATCAAGATGTTGACCTTCCACACTACTTGAAACAAAAGGTTAGGAAGAAAATCCCCATCCATATTGAAAAGAACGATAATACCTACTGGACTTGAGAAAATTATTCTCCTGAAAAATTGTTTAATAGATTTTATAAATTTCAACCAATAGCAGCACTGGCTGCTCGGTAAATAAATGCCGACTGTTTCCTTATAAGGAAATGATTAATATTACCGTTATCATTCGAGTTTCACTTTTATTCTCAATATGGTTTTAAAATGACAACTAGTTATTTCTAGCTATCATTTCGTATTCTTATTTTGCCAAAAAACAGATTTGATAATTGAAAGAATTATTTGTACGACAGGGAAACTGATATGAACTGGTGATCATGTTGGATTTTATCCTTTTCAAACAATCTGTGGGGATTTTTATGTTGTTAATTACATCTTAATATCTAAGGTATATCTTAATGATGTAAAATGCATCTTAATCATTCTTTTTCACATGTTACAGAAGAGATTTACATTTTATTTGAAATTCTTTCGAAGCAACACACATGTCTTCCATGTATTTTCCGTAATTTTAAACATGGTGTAATAATATCTATCAATGATTTAAATTCCGTTATTTCTTATTTCGCCTTGTAATATTAAAAGTGATCTTACAAAGTAAAAATAACTTTCAACGACAGAATATTAATTCGTTCAATCTGGAAACTTATATTCTTAAATAAAAAAATTCATAAAGTAATAGAACAAATGTTTTCTTAAATTCTGAAAGTAGACATTAACATCATTCTACGAGTTTTCCGGATTAAAATTGCTATACATTTTATTTTGTATTGGCCGAAGAATCCATCGGTCGAAAGCAGCAATAAAATCAATAAGAATTGGACAATTAAATATTAGCAGAAATTTGTTTTCGTTGATTCTTCTTTTAAAATCTTCAACTTCTTATAATTAAAATTAAAAAATAAAAAAACAAAGTCCAATAATTCACATCATCTCTCTCTCACACACACACACACACACACATTACAGACGATTCATACCTCATTGTTCGCAAGTGCTGATTCCGTTGACAAACCTGTTACAAAATCAAAGAAAGAGGAACAGCAAGATTATTCTAACTGACGATGCACTTTCAGTATTTAATAATGTCAAGGAAGCCCTGGCTAATTACACCAAACTATCTTACGTTTCGGATAGTGAAGAAGCGATCATTACTGCAGCGAAGTACAAAGTTAGAACCTAAAGTTCTTTAACATAAAATAACTTCACTGAAAATCAAGCTACAATTTCAACGAAAGATCTCACTCACCAACTTGTAAAATTTTGTAAAACTTATTCAATTACGTTATTGAATCAGACGAAACTTTACAAACAATTACGAACAATACATAATTTAATTTAAAACTACGAGCAACGAAAACAAACGGAACATTCACTTCTCCAACTTCTTTAAAGCTAAAAGTTTATTAACATATTTTCAGCTTTATAAGATTCTCTTTCAGTGAACATTTTGAACTACAAGTTAATTCAGTTTTTGTGAGCTCGGATAAAAAAATGTTTTTTATTAGTAAAAACATTAGCCCAGTCAAAGGGAAGTAACTCATATTGTTATTGTAAAACTGTTGTCATTTATAAATATTGTACTTGTTAAGAAAAGTTATTTTCTTGTGTTTTTTCTCGTGTTTGCTTTTTATTTTCTTGCACATTCGTAAAGAAAAAAATGTGTGGGTTGATTTATTCCGTCAATACCACTACAGGTTTATTAATGTAAAGCGAACACATATATTATAGAACAAAAAGGTTTGGCATCACTCTTTAAGTTTGATGAATGTCTGCCCGAAGGCTTTTATCATATATTCAATAATAATAATAAGACCGAGATTATGACATGACTGCATAAGATTTCGTTAAAAGTTTATCTCTTTTGTTCCTATGACTAATCTTAGGACCGGTGATTTTTTTTTTAATTTTAGGTAAGTCCTTCTATAAAAACAATGGAATCCATACACTAATTGGTTAAGGGGCGTTCAGTATCTTACATTTAGTACCAGTTAATTAAACAAAAGACAACATTACATCTACTAATTATTAAATCCAGGTGGTCTCCCCAAATTTGTGGCCTATATTGTATATAAAGTTTGAATGTTTTCAGCAACTACAATTCCTATTCCTTGCGTGCTGTAGTGTAACCTAACCATTCCAGTGTGATAAAAGAAACATTACAATATCGAATTTTGCACAAGGTAAGATTGAAAAGCAATAAAGGTGATATCATCTCACATACGAAAACAGATCTCTATACAATATTTCCAACACATGTCCAGTCTCCATTCTTCGAACGCATGGCTTTCCCCATTTTTCGAACACGAGACCTTTCCCCATTCTTCGAGCACGTAACCTTTTCCTATTCTTCAAACACGTGATCTTTCATCATTCTTCGAACACGTAGCTTTTCCCCATTCTTCGAACATGTCACCTTTCTCCATTCTTTGATATTTGTAGTGGTATTGACGGCCTAAATCAATCCGTACATTTTTACTTTACGAATGTGTAAAGAAAGAGAAATAATCAAGGAGACAGAATTTACTCAACAATAAATATTTTAAAACACAACAAATACAAAATATATGCTAAAGTTGTTAAAACACTTTGAAGTTCTTGACTGTGCGTAATATTGAAAGATCTGAAGTTGTTGAACTGTATGTATGAAAATGAGAAGTTAAGTATTATCGCTGTTGTAGAAAAATTAAACAGTTCTGTTTTTGTATTAAAAAGTATTGTTCTTGACTCACTGTGATTTCTACAGAGTTGTCGCTCTTTGACCGGAGATGTTTGTTGTGGAATAAATAAATTGTTGGAATGAGCGTTCTTTCGCAAGCTGGGTTTATATTAATTTAACGTTAAGCCTGGGAATGGGTGACAAGGTTCGTTGTGGCGTTGAAAAATTAGGTTCGTCTCACTTTGATTGTTGTTGTGTCGATTTCCAATGAAGTCAAGTTGTAATGGTATTGACGACATAAATCAACCCACACATTTTTTTACTTTACGAATGTGTAAGCAAACAAAAAGCAAGCAAGAGAAAGAACACAAGAAAACAACTTTTCTTAACATGTACAATATTTATATTTATAAATGACAACAGTTTTACAATAACTATTAATATGAGTTACTTCCCTTTGACTGGGCTAAAGTCTTTACTAATAAATTTTTTTACCTGAGCTCACAAAAAGCTGAATTATCTTGTTCAAAATGTTCACTGAAAGAGAGTTTAAAGAATCTTGTAAAGCCGAAAATATGTTGATAAACTTTTAGCTTCAAAGAAGTTGAAGTAATGTCTAATTTGTTTTCGTTGCTCATAGTTGAAAGTATTGTTTGTAATTGTTTGTACTTAAGATTCAATAACGTAATTGAATAGTTTGTTGGGGACGTGCAGAATTTATTAATTATGCTTGAAAGAATCAGAAGGAATTTATGTAGGTTGCGTGCATCCACAACAAATAAATAAACGAAATTTAAAATACGATTAAGAACAAGAAGACATATTCAATTAGAAACTAATGTAACATTTATATACAATTCAAAACATTATACAAGCAGGATAATTGGTATATGTTATGTTGGCAAAATGTCTATGATGTTTTAGATTTCAGAATGTCTTTCTTTGTAATCGTTCGTTCATTTGCAGCCCGTTTTAGATTTGTGTTGATATTACAATTGTTAATATTAAGTGTCTTTTTAGAAGGAGTTCTTAAGGAGTGATCTACCTTTGACTGTAATGTTTTTAAGGTCGTTCGCACATTGATGTTACTAGGTAGTGAATATAATTCACTTTAGATAAGCAACGTTTGAGAATCGATGTCCACAGAGTTGGTTGAGTTTTAATTGTGAGTGAGTCAGCGTTGATGTACCTTTGCGCGGTAAAATCGTGATTTCGAGTGACGTGGAGTATGTTGGCAATTTCTCTATGGGTGTTCGTTACTGACTGCTTGGGGCAGTCGGCGTTTACTTTTATAAGTCCTGAAAGCCCGAAATTGGCTCACAGAGTTTTGGCACAATTTCATTTTTGCACGTGAACTTTCAGATTATTGTGTCATTAACCAATGAGATTGGTTGATTCGCCTGGTACGGTTTTTATTGGTTAAAGTTTTCCGTACGTAGGCGTAAGATATAGACTGTTCTGTTGCTAGGGGTAATAGGTAAGAAAAAGACGAGTCTACAAGTTTTAGTAAGTTGCAGAAATTGGTGAGTGAGTTGTTTCGTTGATATTTTAGCTTGAATTACAGAAAAGTTATTTCATGTTAAAGAACTTGAGATTCTAACTTTGTACTTCGCTGCAGTAATGATAGAAGCGTCGTGAACTTGTAGTGGTGCTGTAAGTATTGTTGGCTAGGGTCACCGTGAATATAATCAAGAAGGAAAGCTGTGTTCTTGTAAAACAACACCCCACATGAATAATGCACAACATACACAAGAGGAAAATAATCAAGCTTAGTGAACATTAATAAAATATTGTATTAACAATGATATACAAATATCAACAATAGGATAAAGAAAGTTGCTTCCCTTTTTCCGTAATAAAAAAGTTAAGTTTAGCTAATTAATGTTGAGCACAATATTGAAAGTTATTTAACTACGAAATTCAATTGAAGTATTAGCTAAATAAAGAATAGTTCCACAGTGTTTTATCAGTGTAGAAAGATGTAATGTTCATGAGTGATATCAATAAGAATTAGTATGATTACTCGAATGAGTAATAATTAAGAATTAAAATCTCAATATAGCGCCAGTGAGCTTGGCGCCAAAAATATAGAAAGATACTAAAATACGCGATTGGTCAGGAAATGGAAATTGTCATATAATAAGTATCATATATTTATGAACCAATGACATTAAAGAAAGCAGAGGTGTGGCACATGTAAGTGATCACCACAAACTCGTTTAGCAAATGCTAGTCGTCGTAAATTCTCACTGACTGGGTTCGCTCGTACCTTTACCTTCAATTTATATGTTTTTTAATCACGTGACAGGATTCTGAGAGCATTGTTTTTTTGTCAGGTCAAAAACTAGGTTGATGTTATTCGGACGTAGTGGTGAGCAGGTAAATTGTTTTTTTAATATTTGTTAACCACTCAGAAAGCGCCTTACAAAACTCAGTCTGGAGCCTGATATGTTTCGTGTTGCTTATTGAGAACAATGTACGTGAAGATACACAAGATAATTTTAATATTTATTGTCCAATGAGAAGTTCAGGTTTTCAGAAATATGTATGAAGCTGTGATACGCTTTTAGCACGAAAATCGACATTGATGTAAAAGTGGTAGCGTATAGCTAAAAAGTGAATGAGTTGAACATATTAAGGGCCCACTGACTATGTCGCGTCAAAGTTTCGTATTTATAAGTTCTCTTGGTCACGTGGGGGCTCGAGAACATGTTTACATTTTGTGGCGTCAACTCGAGGTCAAAATTTGGGGTCAACATATGTAGTGGTATGTTAATAAAAATAGACCACACAATTTATATTTGACGTAAAATACCACATAACATGAAATACAAGAAGGAACAAAATGGTTTTAAAAACATAACATTTGTATTTATTTTGTGTGTATTGATGTGCATGCGTAAAACATCTGTTGGTGTTATATCCCTTAGACTCTAAATATTCTTATCTCAACTCACAAAAGTTGAATTAATTATAAAGCTGAGAAATGATGAATAAACTGTAGCTTTAGAAGAATATTTCAAAGAGAAAAGTTCTTGTTGCTTATTTGGAAATGTTTCGTATGTTTGTAATGTAGTTTGGAAAAGTTCGTACAAGAAAATCAAATTGTAAAGTGAAACAACAAATTTATATACATATAACTCAATTAAGTTCTCTACAAATAAAATTAATGTATTTTGGTTGATACAAGGTTGTCAAAAAGTTCGTAGTAGTCCTTGCCAGAATGAGTTTATGTGTACGTAGGCAGGAACGTTTGTGTGGATGTATGTATGTATGTATGAGCGTTATCTTAGGGTAGGAATGTCTTTGAAGTAATCGCTCAGTCTTAAAATGTTCCGTTCGTTTATCAAGTATAAAAGAGGTGAGGGAGAAAGGTAGAGATAATAATAACGATCGCTTGACGTTTGTCAAGGGACGTGTTAATACGCTCGTCTCCTTCTCTTTGATGACAGGTGAACTTGCCCGTCTTTTATTTTGTTTATGGGGCTTGAAAAGGTCATTTGGGAATTCACTCATATGATTCGGGCTTTTCCATTGGACGACGAACAAACTTCGCGTCGGCTCACGAAAAGATCCGTAAAAGAATTTGTTTCTGAGAATTGAAGATTATTTGAATTTTGTTTTTACATGTTTCCTAGTTTTCTATTGGCCGAAAAACATTTCGCATTAAGGTGTGAAATTTCACGAGTTTTGTTTTTGATTCACTTTTGCATGTGTGTTCAGCAAAGTTTGTAAATTCGAGTCTTTTTAATTTCTAACAAAATCAATGAGTCAGTGCTTAGCATTTGAATTTTATATTTAGATCTTGTTTTGTTCACTACAAATATATAATCATGATTTCTTAGTGTCAATGTTCATATATTTTAGATGTTTTTGAGAGATACGAATTATACATACGCCAACTGCAGTGAAGGACTCCTTACGGCATTGTGCAGAACACCTTTATTTGGTAAGTGTTTATTTGTCAAGAAATGCAGATACACACCAAAAGTAGTAAAAGAACATTGGTTCTATTATTGCTGACTTCTTAACAACAACTGACATTATTAAATATATGCAAAAATTTGACCTTTTGCATGCACTATATATTATTATTATTATTATATGACCTTTTGCATGCACTATATATTATTATTATTATTATTATATGACCTTTTGCATGCACTATATATTATTATTATTATTATATGACCTTTTTCATGCACTATATATTATTATTATTATTATATGACCTTTTGCATGCACTATATATTATTATTATTATTATATGACCTTTTGCATGCACTATATATTATTATTATTATTATATGACCTTTTGCATGCACTATATATTATTATTATTATTATATGACCTTTTGCATGCACTATATATTATTATTATTATTATATGACCTTTTGCATGCACTATATATTATTATTATTATTAATTTATTATTATTATTTTTTAAAACTAATTAATTGTACAAAATTTTTAAAAACATTTTCTTTAATGTAGTTCCCGCCAAAAATGAAAAGGCTTGGAACTTTCGCACATATACAATAACTTTTTCTTTGCAAGTTTTTATTTAACAGTATTTTTTTTATATTTAACAGTTCTTGTAACATGTAAATATAATTGTTAGATTCCTATTACGAAACGGGAAATTAATATATTCTTTTTAGCTAAATAATTATCATCAAATATAAATTCTATCCATCTTCAAATATTAAAAATTTACTTTTCATAATTTTGAAAAAAGCTAGATAAATATTAATTGCTTTAATTATTGCATATATTTTTGCTTAGACTGCCGACAAAATTTCATTTATATGTATTAAATATGTGTACGCGCATACACACACACACACACACACACACACACACACACATATATATATATATATATATATATATATATATATATATATATATATATGCATACGTATATATAAACAGAGATAGACAGGGAGAGAGGGGGTAATGATGCTTCAAAAGTAATGCCTCTCATTTATTTTCACCTTAGCGACAACAGATACAAAGAGCATGCCATTGCAGAGTGCAATTTCCCAGCTAAAAAACTTTCTGCATAATCACCACCATTGACTATGCAATTTCACTGACGATGAATTATAATCCCGCATCTCGTGCCCATAAAAATCGGTACCAACGGAGGTGACCATAGCTTGTCACACACATCGTTGTCGACACTACTGAAACGCATTACCCACTGCCTAACTGTATTCACATCCACTGCGTGGTCGGGAATTAAGTTAATATGAGGAATTCATTTTGGAACAGCATTCAAATTTACGAGTGAATTCATTATATAATCGTATAAAGGAATATTAACAAAATGTATGCGCAACTGCCTATTTTATGCTAAAACAATCATCAGATACATTGTGATAACTTCATGTTGGATACTAGACACACAAATAAGTTGATGATCATTTCAGCAGTAGATAACGGACTTGTAATTCTAAATTTAATTCCATAATATATCCTCCTGTAGGAATTCTTAAAGGCATAATTTTTCTTCCAGGCATAACTGACACCTCTGAAATACAAATTTAAAGCAAATACTTTTCTTAATATTTTTCATTTCTTTTCTGAAGTATCCCCGTCTTTGTCTTTCAACTCACACAAATATTTAGAAAATGTCGTACTATTGGTTCACTGCCTTCTTGTGAAAGATGTTTTGTAGTTGTATAATCTTTGTTACCGCATATTCCTTGTCAACTCTATAGAAAAGAGGCGAGCCAAATTTGTTTTATATTTAGGTTTATAAAAACAAATCTGGCTCAACTAAACTGCATCACATGCAAGTCCTGTAAATAATTAGTGTTGTTGGGGAAACACATGTACTGCAGCCATGGCAGAAGTGGTGTGTCTAGGACACACCACTGATGGAGACCAAGGCTGATTTTGAATTTCAGAGTTTTCCTTCTAAACTGATTGTCACACAAGGTAAAAGATCCCAGCCTGCCCCCAAATTTTAGTCATAGCTGGAAGAAGAGAGATTCATACCTTTTCCAAGAGCATTAGTGCGAAGTGAACAAAAGAAAATCAACCTGAAATTTTCATTTCCACACCGATAATCCTAACACTATTCGATTATCATTCTTGACCATATTAGTACTTAAGCATCCCACCCACGAGTCTTTATCTCTATTTTTACACTTACAAGAGCGAAGCTTGGAATACACATGGCGTACAAGAGCGGTGGTTGCATTCACATGGCGTACAAGAGCGGAGGTTGCATTTACATGGCATACAAGAACTGTGGTTGGATTCACATGGCGTACAAGAACGGAGGTTGCATTTACATGGCATACAAGAGCTGTGGTTGGATTCACATGGCATACAAGAGCTGTGGTTGGATTCACATGGCTTACAAGAGCGGTGGTTGGATTCACATGGCGTACAAGAGCGGTGGTTGGATTCACATGACATATTTGTAGTGCCATGTTGTTCTTTTTCGTTATTTGGGATTAGCTTGCTTATACAACAGTCCTACGGTCAAATCAAATTGAAAACACCGATTCTAGTTCGGTCACCGAAGTTAAGCAGTGTCAAGCCCGATCAGTACTTAGATGGGGGACCGCTTGGGAACACCGGTTACTGTAAGCGACTTGTTAAAATCCGAAGTATGTTTTGGTTTATGAAGCCTACCTTTACAGGAAAGTGTTTATTAATAATCTTAAAACAAACTTTCATCTTTATGGCTTTCTTGAATGGTGGAGAGATTGAACTAAATGATATTTCATCTTTTGTTTCTTGCCTTGGGGTAGTGTCGTTTATGTATGTTTGCACACCACACCACCCAACCCCGTGTTTACAAAAAGAAATAGATTTTTAGATGATGCTTTTTTTTGTAGTAAAATTTTTATTGATTTGAGAATTCATCCAAATTATTTCATTAGCAACTTCATATTTTTTATCTGAACTTTACTTCCTACGGAAATGTATCTAGAATGAAGGGCGTTCTGCACTGAAATTTCAAATTCACTAATAAAGCATCCTCAAAACAAAGATGATGAAGAAGGAAAAATCTGACTTACGACTAATTTGGTCTGTAGATCACCACAACTGAAAAAATAGTTTGGCTCCTCTAATCTTTGGGTCACTGGGTTGCAGCCGATACCAGCCCATATACAAATATGATACTCGTCATATATATATATATATATATATATATATATATATATATATTGTCAGGAAATCGCAACGTATAAAAATGAAGGTCAGATAAGAACACATGAACAGTTGCCGACGAACAACAAACACAAGATTAACATTTTTAAATACATTTTATACAACAAAATACAAGATACAAAATATAGTAAAAGTATGAAATGACAGTTGTACAATTAATAAAAGAAAACTTAACTGATATTGGATGTCAGTTCAACCGCTTGTGTTTGGAGTTCGTAATGATAGACGAAGTTTCTGTAAAATGTTTACAAACGTTGGTTGTTCTTTCTTCCGCAATGTAAAATATAACATTCAGAAATAATGTTTATGTTCCGTTTCCTCTTGGTTACTTGGATTGCATCCGCGATGAAAGTAAGATGCTTTTTTCGTATTTATTTGGGTACGATATTCCTTTATCCTTTACTCATTAAATAGTCAAATAGACCCAAGATCTCCGAGACGAAAGTTCCTTATTCTCTACACAACAAGTAATGGAATAAGTTTCTGGGTGTATTTCTTATCCGTCACGATACCAAAATCCCAGTTAGTGATGTATGTCATGTGAGCGTAGGTAATCGATTCTTACGCACTTTCTTAGGAGCTCATTCTTGTGCTGCCAAGCGATCCCAAATTCCTTTCCTGCCATTTCGTAGGAGGTCATTCTGTTTGTTGTCAAGTGACCCCAATTCCTTTCTTCCCTTCTCTTAGCCAAAACACGACTCTGATAGGAAGTAAAATAAAAAAAGTGAAAGAAGAGAAGAAGAAGCACAAAGTCAGTGCGTCTGATTTAATAGTTAACAATGATGGCCATGTCTATATATATATATATATATATATATATATATATATATACTGGAATCTTTGAGGTATGAGGGTCAAACAACTCAGTTCCAAGGAAACGACAGCCAGACTACCTGCACATCGGATTTGATGCGTGATGAAGCTGCAGAACCAACCAAACTTTGGAAGAATCGAATACAGAGAACTGGTGCACAACGTGCCACAAGGTCCCCAATCAAACCTCCGCAGGTTTTGAATTCGGAGTTGTCCTACTCCTAGAAGTTGCCACCCAAGTCTGAACCCAGTCTGTCCTGCTATTACCCCTAGCGCTGGGGGGGGTTGTGAGAAGAAGATGATTCCTAACTTTTTCAAGAGTATTAGCACGTAAGTGAATGTAATGAACTCGACTGGAATTCGAACTCGGCTCTTCGAGTCGCTAGCCAATACTCCTCTGTGATCTCTCTCTCTCTCTCTCTCTCTATATATATATATATATATATATATATATATATATGTGTGTGTGTGTGTGTGTGTGTGTGTGTGTGTGTGATCAGTGGTTAGAACATTTGCGTTCCAACCATGAGGCACGGAATTTCAGCATCGATTTGTCGAGGAGATGCCTTCTTGATAATATCAACCTGGGGAGATGATACCAGCGTGTGACATTGTTGGAAAGTATCCTGAAAACCCATACTCCACGGATTGACCCAAGCCTTGTGGTCGAATCAGGGTCAATAAAAATGTTCAGAAGCCGTTGAGGGTTGTGCTAGCACGAAGTCACAAGTCATCGTGACTGAGGGTTTGAGCCTACTGGCCTCATTCAAACTGCAGATGGCGCGCTCTCTCCGAGAAACTGTAACTAATTCTGAGTGCTGAACAAATACAAAGGTGCCTGAGCAGACGTCTGTAACACGGATTAAATATTATATCCTAGCAAACGGATGTATCCAGAAAACAAGTACTCAGGCATACATACTATAGCTATAAAAAATACTGAGCACTATTCACCTTTAAGTATAGAAATTTTTAAAGAACAGACAGATAGATAGATAGATAGATAGATAGATAGATAGATAAAGACAAGATGAAAAATTATTTTTAGTCGATGCGTTTCGTCTTCTGAAGGACTTTATCAAGACAAATGTAGGATTTATTTTGTTGCACTTGTTTATATACAAGAGGAGGGATTTCATTGGTTTATCAAGGCTTAAAATTGAGAACGTTCATGAATGTTCACCAGGTAGTTGAAAAGTCAGTTAAATCTTGTGGAGTGCACAAAGTGTCATAATTCAAAATCCGGTAAGACAAAAGTAAGCGAGTAATATTCACGAAATGTTTTGACTGACCTTTCAACCACCTGGGAAATATTTTCTTTTTTTTCATTTTGTTCCTTTACAGATACTCTCTATCTGAAAATAATTTACAAATATATATATATATATATATATATATATATATATATATTAATAAATATACATATTACTACTCGCCGATAGCACAACTCGAATTTTCATGCACAACACAATTTTCAGGTGCTGAGTAGAGACTGACCGTTACATTAAATGTTTACGGGAGATGGCGCTGTGTTGCCATGTAGAATAGGTTGCATTTGTCATTCGTGTACATTTGTGTCTAGTCTGTCTGCATCGTTTAACTTGTGTAGTAGTAAGTTAAATGAGAAGTATTCCGTTTAAAATGGTAGTATATTCATATCGTGAACAGACAGATATGATTTTTACATAGGGCTGCGTGAATGGTAATGGACGCGAGGTTGCACGGCTGTATCAGATTGCGTTTCCAAACCGAAGGCAATCTAGTCATCCAACCTTTGCTACTATTTATCGTCGCGTTGCTGAGACGGGAAACTACAAACCATCCATCGACACTATATGGCAACTCAACGCATTTTCCCCTAAACTTAAAACGAATTATTTGCAGACATATATTTATATAACAGTTAATTTCTTCCTTTCCAGCTAACAGATTTTTTTTTTTTTTTTTTTCTTTTCAGCTCAGATCAGAAAAACGAATTATTTAATTGGACTTGGCTTTGTTGTTTTTGCATTTTTGTGTTTTTTTGTTTGGTATATAATCAAGTAAGTCATTTTCTTTGCAAACACTAATGTTTAATTTCAATGACTGCATTATTATTTATTACTTCATAAATATAGCAATCATAAAATGCTCTGTATGGCTGTGATTTCAAAATCTACTGCTGTTGTGGAAATCTTGATTGATTTATTTTCTCTACATTGCCAATGTTCCATTTTTCTTTTCATTATTCATAAGAGAAATAAACCTTCCCAGAAATAAAATATTTGTATCTATTTTATTCATTTACACTATTTACATTGTTCGGACCGTTATCCTCATCTTTATTGTCATATTCACGATGTTTCGGCCGTTGTACGCTCTGGTCTTCTTCGTTGAAATTTCGAACCGAACCCTTTATTTAGTCCACTAGGGTAGATTGCTCTAGTTTCACGTGGGCTCTTAATAGTCAGGTTTTCAAAAAGTGAGGGGTACAGAATGTTGGCTGCAGTCAGTCCGCAAATCTTTAATACAGGTCCGAACCGGATTTCTATGTTAGAGTGTTGCTGGAAAAAATCTTGGCCCAGGATTACCTCACAACAAAGGTCTTTCATTATCGATAACTCTACAGCTTTATATGAGATGTCGTTAGAATGTGATGACAAAGCTGCGTTCGCCATTGTTACTGTCTTGGGGGAGGGAACATAATGCCATTTGTGAATTTTTACTAGACTGTCTCTGACTTTACCGAACTGCCAGTGTCTAATAATGCATTGGGGAGGACACCGTTAATTTTAATTTTTATAATAGTATTTGAAAGACAGTCAGGGAACACAGCCAATGTTGCAGAAAATGATAACGAACTGACAGGATGGTTAGCTTTGTGAAAGATATTTTTAAAAGAACGACATACTTTGGAGAAATGTCCTAATTTTCCACACTTGTGGCAACGAGCTTCCCTGGCAGGACATGAAAGTCGTGAGTGTAGATTTAGACCGCAATAGTAACATGTCCGTTTGGTTGATGCGGCAGTGATAGGTTGTTCTGGAATGTTTAAAGGTGGCATATACTGGGCAGGAGAGTAAGTCGAATTATCATTGAGAGGAGGGATAGTAGGAACAGGTTGTTTTAGAGCGGCACCCACAGTATCGGGTTGAAAATACGAACTGGACTTCTGTATAGCAAGCTCGCAAGTATAAGCTTGTTCATAAGCAGCTTTCAAGATAAGGGTCTTATTTTCAAGAAGGCGTTGCCTTACCTGAACATTGCATAGGCCATTTACGAAGGTGTCTAGAATATGTTCCTCTTGTGCCACCAAAACGGTCATAGGACGAAAATTGCAGTCCCTACATCATGCCCGAATGATCTTTAGGAAATAATTCATTGTTTCGCCAAATTCCTGTTGCCGGGTAGCAAGTATATGTCGGGCAAATAGTTAATTATACGTTGTGTGTGATCTTGTGTGTCCAGAGTTTATCTGCTGCTTCGCTTTCAGAGTCATAGGTAAATCGTTCTGACTGCATATAAAGTTCCATTGTAAGTGAAATAAATTGTAGTAAAAACAGAACCAGTGAATAAATTTCTAAATTTATACCAAAGCTTTATTGCACTTTAAATTGACTACTCGTCTACTAGCGGATATTACAGGGTGCTTTTCATATTTCCTAGATCTTAAAGGGAGGTAACTGATAATTTGTCAGTACAGTGTCTGTCAATAATGAGAAGATCATTTTTATATAGATTATCACTTTTTCCTAGTATCAGCTTTCAGGTTAAGATCAGGTGCAGTGTCTATTCCTCCTCAGCTGCATTTTCATCTCTGGGCATAACATAAAAAAATCGAAAAATAAAAAATGAGGTAATTTTGGTGCAATAAATTCAGACCATGGGGCAGCACCCCCACCATAGCACTAAAAGTATTTTTAACAAGAGCTTGCTTTATGAATTTCAGGCTGTATGTTTCTGTCCTCTTACTTAAAATTGTCTTCTAGACATTTTTACTTACTTGTAAAATCCACATTAGCTATAAGTTTATACTAATCATATGATCAGGTGCTGATGAGTCTGCCTGAAAATGCTGCTTTAAATATTTATCATGGCAAATGTTTAAAAACAGCAAATGCTCAATATATGAAAGGGATGAAATATAGTCAACGTATTCTTGAAAGTAAATCAAGTAAATAATGTTCATGAAAATGTGATTACATTCAGAAAGGAAGGTCTTTATGATGATACGACTAAAATATCTCTTTTGATTGGTTAGAAAAGAAGAAGAAAATTCTAATTGATCTAATTGCAAAAATCTTTTCGAAGATAATTTATACTCGAACTTCCTGCTGACTTTGACATGTCAAGCAAATTAGCATTAAATTAATTTTTTAAATTATTTAAATTATTACTAATTATTTGAATTATTTAAATCATTTAAAGTTTTGTCCTTCAGATTTTATAATTACTGATCAAAAAATTTCAGCTGTTTTCTTTCTTTTTTTTAATCTAACAAATTTTAAATGCTTAAAAATTATTTCAAATTTTAGTGAATAAATAACGATGCCAATATCAGAAATAATATTAGATTCTTTACTAAATATTTTAATCTACCATTTTTTAGATACATAAGCATTATTTTAAAATATTGGTCTATAAAAAACAATGCCTAAATTTTTAAAATTTTCATCTAACTGTATTTTTAGATAATGTTATTTAAATATTTGTCAATAGATAACAATATATGAACTTGAAATATTTTAATCTACTAATTTCTTAATATACAAAAAGATTATTTAAAATATTCGTCAATAAATAACGTATGTATTTGAAACATTTTAATTTACCAATTTTTTATATACATATATTCAATAAATAAAAATGTCTAAATTTCAAATATTTCAATCTACTTTTAATTTTTATATACAAAAAATATTTAAATATTTTAATCAATTTGAAATATTTTAATCTGCCAATTTCTTATAATACATAAAAAATGGTTTAAAATATTTTTCAATAAATAAAAATATCTATTTTGAAATATTTTTCATCTCCCAATTTTTATATACTTAAAAATCTTAAAATATTTGTTAATAAATCACAATACTTAAACGCAAAATATTTTTGTTTTCTAACAGAATGAAAAAGCGATGGCATAGAAAACGTCGAGGCAATAATAATCCAATTGCAGACGAAGATTTTTCTTCCACTTCAGTATTTGTGAATAAATCGGAAACGCCATCTTTTGAACAATTTTTGCCTGATGGAGAGGAAACTGTTTTCATGGAGAATCAATTATACACAAGTTCTGAGAGTATGCACTCACGGAATGAAGATCTGCAAGCTCATATCAAAGAATTCTATCATAATCACAAATCAGTTGGACCAGAGAATTCCGTAGAAAGAAGAAGTTTGAATATAGTTTCAAGTAATAAAGAATTGTATAGGAATGGACAAAGTATTATTCCCCAAAATGAAATACAATCAGTTTATGATAGTGTGGAGATAAGAAACACATCAATTGCTAGAAAATCGCCTGCCTCAATTTCATGTATACCCCAAATATTTGGGGTACATACAAATGATGATGATAATACTGTACAAGGCAGTGGAATTGAAATTTATGCCGCAGACTCCTCATCGAGGGCGGTTTCAAATTTGAAAAGAACTTCCTACCCAAACTTACAAACTGACAGAAAGAATTCCTTCTCTAAGAAAAACAGAAGCTCCGTCATCTGGCAAAGGTTTAAATCAAAAATTGATATATTTAAGATTTCTAAGCATTATGGCGAAGGAAATCAAAATGGCGGTAACAAAAAAGATAAAACGTGGCCATTAAACAACGGACAGACAGTTTGGAAAGAATTATTTTTGTGCGATAAAAATGCGATCAGAAATAACAAAATTACTTCAGTTGAATGTGACACAAGAAATTCAAACTCGAATAAAGAAAATATGCATCATCAGAAACGAAAAGTCATTTTATCAGAACCTATAAATGAAGTTCCAACTTCTCAATGTTGGAATCATGAGCAACATTTCTCAGTAGACAAGAAAAATAAAAACACGATGGACGAGGACGAATTTGTAGACAATGTTTATGATGATCTAGAAGAAATCATGCCTGAAAAAAACGAAACATTTTTACAAAATGAAAACAAAGTTTCTAATGTTTTTCAACCATGTGTCAAAACTAAGAATATTTTAATTGTACCCAAGGAAAGTCGGTCCTGTTTTGACGAAGACGAAATGACAAAAAATCCATTGTACGAGGATACGAAAGAAGTTATACTTGGAGCTAAAAAGACTTTCTTAGATGCGAAAAATAAAGATTACTGTTCTTCTCAGTGGCGCATAGCTCTTGAAAACAATTTATCTTCACGAACGGAATTTAGACGCAATTTTGACGAAGATGAATTTGAAGATAATCCTCTATATGATAATCCAGAAGAGATTAGAAATGAAAGTAATAAATCTTTCTTAGATCCGGAAGTCAATGTTAATTTTCCATCTCATCGTCGCGTCTCTCTTGATAACAATTTATCTCCACGAAAGGAAAATACATGCAATGTTGATAAAGAGGAATTTGAAGATAATCCTCTATATGATAATCCAGAAGAGATTAGAAATGAAAGTAATACATCTTTTTTAGATCCGGAAGTCAATGTTAATTTTCCATCTCATCGTCGCGTCTCTCTTGATAACAATTTATCTCCACGAAAGGAAAATACATGCAATGATGACAAAGAGGAATTTGAAGATAATCCTCTATATGATAATCCAGAAGAGATTAGAAATGAAAGTAATACATCTTTCTTAGATCCGGAAGTCAATGTTAATTTTCCATCTCATCGTCGCGTCTCTCTTGATAACAATTTATCTCCACGAAAGGAAAATACATGCAATGATGACAAAGATAATCCTCTATATGGAAAGTAATACATCTTTCTTAGAGTTAATTTTATCTCATCGTCTCTCTTGATAACAATTTATCTCCACGAAAGGAAAATACATGCAATGATGACAGAATTTGAAGATAATCCTCGATATGATAATCCAGAAGAATTAGAAATGAAAGTAATAAATCTTTCTTAGATCCAGAAGTCAATGTTAATTTTCCATCTCATCGTCACGTCTCTCTTGATAACAATTTATCTCCACGAAAGGAAAATACATGCAATGATGACAAAGAGGAATTTGATGATAATCCTCTATATGATAATCCAGAAGAGATTAGAAATGAAAGTAATAAATCTTTCTTAGATCCGGAAGTCAATGTTAATTTTCCATCTCATCGTCGCGTCTCTCTTGATAACAATTTATCTCCACGAAAGGAAAATACATGCAATGTTGATAAAGAGGAATTTGAAGATAATCCTCTATATGATAATCCAGAAGAGATTAGAAATGAAAGTAATACATCTTTCTTAGATCCGGAAGTCAATGTTAATTTTCCATCTCATCGGTGCGTCTCTCTTGATAACAATTTATCTCCACGAAAGGAAAATACATGCGATGATGACAAAGAGGAATTTGAAGATAATCCTCTATATGATAATCCAGAAGAGATTAGAAATGAAAGTAATAAATCTTTCTTAGATCCGGAAGTCAATGTTAATTTTCCATCTCATCGGCACGTCTCTCTTGATAACAATTTATCTCCACGAAAGGAAAATACATGCAATGATGACAAAGAGGAATTTGAAGATAATCCTCTATATGATAATCCAGAAGAGATTAGAAATGAAAGTAATAAATCTTTCTTAGATCCGGAAGTCAATGTTAATTTTCCATCTCATCGTCGCGTCTCTCTTGATAACAATTTATCTCCACGAAAGGAAAATACATGCAATGATGACAAAGAGGAATTTGAAGATAATCCTCTATATGATAATCCAGAAGAGATTAGAAATGAAAGTAATAAATCTTTCTTAGATCCGGAAGTCAATGTTAATTTTCCATCTCATCGTCGCGTCTCTCTTGATAACAATTTATCTCCACGAAAGGAAAATACATGCAATTATGACAAAGAGGAATTTGATGATAATCCTCTATATGATAATCCAGAAGAGATTAGAAATGAAAGTAATAAATCTTTCTTAGATCCGGAAGTCAATGTTAATTTTCCATCTCATCGTCGCGTCTCTCTTGATAACAATTTATCTCCACGAAAGGAAAATACATGCAATGTTGATAAAGAAGAATTTGAAGATAATCCTCTATATGATAATCCAGAAGAGATTATATTTTAAAGTTATCAAAAATTATTAAATGCAAAAAAATGCCTTATAATCCATCTCGTCGGCACATCTCTCTTGAGAACAATCTATCTCCACCCAACAAATCTATTTTTCTTTTGAAGAATTGAATATAATCTTGTGTGTGATTATTTCAAAGAATTTACATTTGAATATAAGGCAAATATCTTGGATTCTGAAACTAACGTACCTATTTCTTTTCATTCATGTCTCTGGCCTCGGAACACTTATCCCTTCGAAAGGATACTAAACATTATTTGTAAACGGGGAATTTGTAAATAATCCGATGTATGATGATCCAGATTATTTTTTATTTGAAATAAAGAAAAATCTCTTAAGTGCAGCATACGATTTTGCCTTTTCTCATTTGTGCATCTCTTTTGTAAAGTCAATATTTTTATACTGTTTTCATGAATAATAATTTGTAAAGATTCATATGATGTTCCGACAGAGGCATTTGAATGTAAAATACATTATGGAACAAATAAATAACGATATAAATAAATTAGAACATGAAACAATGGATTTTTATGCAATTTTCAATGTTAATTTATTTCCAGTCAAAATAAATAATTTCTGTAAAATATAATTTTTACTTTAATGGCAAAATGAAATTAATTTGCTTATATAAAATACGTTTTTTTATCTGTTAGAATAGATTTTAAACCAAATTGTCATTTTTTTAATTTTCTGCTTTATTTTCTTTTATTGTGATGTATTTTTTATCACCTTTTGTTGTTCATTGCAGAGTTTGTATAATTTTCTCTTTCTAGAATTAGGCATTTCTTCATTTGCCTATTTTGCAGGCACTGCTCCTAATTAAAAACTAAAAGCAGCGGCAACGATATATTGCACGTGTAAATGACATTTGGAAAGAAATAGAGGACAATTTCAACAAGGAGAGATTTTTTAGTTTTTGTTTTTTTATAAAAGTGAGACAAGAGAGACAAAATACACTTGGGTGCATGCGAAAGAAAGAAGACATTACAAATTAACAATTATGTGAGTCATACACGTGTATTTTTTCACACACACCCCAAGCGATGCAGTAAAACTACTAGGAGACAAGGAGTTACAAGGAGTATGAAAGAATTAGAAAACAGAAACATTACTAAAGAGCGAGAAGAAAAGATTAATCAGGACATGGTTAGATAGTGATTGACATTGCATTTAAATTTTTGAAGATCAAAGTTGAACAGAAAGCATAGAGCCTGGAAGACAGTTCCACAACCGAGAAAAGAAGCTGTCAACATAGAATTTATGGCTATATCTAGCTAGCTTAACTGTAATTTGATGAGACCTTTTAATTCATAAAGTCTTGGTACCATAGCGATGAGATCACCCAAATAGTTGTCATTGAAGTATTTATACAAAGGGCATAGGAGGGCAACTTTACGGTGGTGGGAAAGTGACTGAAGCCGAGAAGCCAGATCAGGACCAATAATATTGTTCATTCTTCTTTGGATTTTATCGAGGATCTTTAGATATGCAGCGAGAGAACTGGACCATATGTGGCAGCAATATTCTAAACATGGATGAATGGTAGCCATAAATATGTAAGATAGATTCTGGAGAGAAAAAACTATTTAGCACGACACAGTGAACCAACTTTTTTAGCGACTGATCTAGCAATGTATTCAATATAGTCTTTCCACTTCATATCAGTAGAGAAGGTGAGTCCGAGAAGTCGCAACATGTCACTCTCTTGGAAGGCAGAAAAGGTTCTCTCTGGGGATTAATAGACAATAGTTTTTTTCTTTTGGAGGTTTTAAAATTAAAAAGTCATCATTTGCACCAGTTAACAACAGACAGAAGTTCATTTTGGACATCAGTTGCCAGTTTGACCTTATCGAACTGACCAGACTTAATATCGAGACAGGAGTAAATGGTTGTACCCTCAGCGTAGATACCAAGTTGAGAGCTGATATCATCGAGAAGGTCATTAATGAAAATTAAAAACAAAGTAGGAACAAGGATAGAGTCATGGAGACAGACCTGCGTAAAAGGAGCTAAACGATTGGCCGTTCAGGATATAACTTACTTTTCACCATTTGATAAGAAAGACTGGATCAGTTCAAAAATTTGTCTGGAGACAGCGTAATTTTTCAACTTGTGAAGAAGACCTAAATGTCAAACTCTGTCGAAAGATTTCGAGATGTCCAAAACAACAACCAAAGCTTCACCATTCTTATCCAGAGTTTGATAGACTCTTTCCCAAATTATCGTCAGTACATCAGCAGTTGACCTAGAGAAACGAAAGCCAAATTGCTTGTCTGAAAAAAGGCCGTGCGATGTGAAATACTTAACCAATTCAGCATTAATTAGGGCCTCTGGGAGTTTCTCAAAAAGGGGTAGAAGGCTAATGGGCCAATATTTGGAAGAAGTTTTTTTTTTTTTAAACTGGAACAACAGATGAGGATTTCCGACATACAGTAAAGCAAGAGACAGCGATGCATTTATTATACAATTGAGAGAGAACAGGAGCCCGTTAAGAACAGGTTCTCATGGTTTGTGGGGACCCAGTTTGGAGATGTTAGCAGAAACCATGAAAGGGGTTATATGTGTATCACTCAACAGGAACTCAGTTATAAGTGAAAGTCAGGCAAGGATACTCCAGATTTTTTCTTTTACAGTAAGCTTTATTCTATACAAGGCCCGGGGGTCCACTCGTGGTTGAGGGTTACATTAAGGGGAAGTTTATAGGGATAGGAGGGGAAAGATAACTGTTAACTCTAGTCTTGAACAGTTTAAGATTTTTGTGATTGGGAAACATTGGGAGTCTGTGTCACAGAGCAGTGGTCCGCAGGAAGAAGCTGTTCGAATGGAACTTACTTCTCGCCGAAGGAATACGGAGGGAATGTGGGTGGGGTGCTACTATGTAAGACACATGGCGGGTCCTAGCCGTGAAGGTTATGCCTGGCGAAACCAAGGAATCTAGTTCGTCCGGGCATTTTTCATGGTAGTAGCAATAGAACCGTTAGAGACTGGTAACATCTCGAGAAATTGGAGGGTGGAAAATAATTTGTCACCTACAACTCGGAGACGCTTGTGAACTCTATCAAAACTGGAAAGTGAGGACTTGACAGCTCTCGCCCAAATATGACAACAGTACTCCATCTTCGGCCTGGTCTGGCTCTTATAAAAGTAGAGGATAGCATGAGGAGCCAGGTACTTACTGGAACAGTACAGGGATCCGACCATTTTACCTGAATCCTAAGCAATGGATCGTATATAGGAATTCCAGTTGAGGTCAGGTGCGAGTTTAAGGCCCAATAGTCCCTCAATGCACGGTACCTCCCCGATGAGACATCCGTTCATCGTGACTGGCGGTAGTTCAGAGTACGATCGGCGATGATGAAATATAACTAGTTTTGTTTTCGGGGCATTTAATGTAACCAGCAAGTTTATTCCAGCACTGGGTTGTTAGTGTTGGATAGGAAGAGAAATCTGATCGTCAAGTGTTTTACAGGTGCACCCGTATATAGTCGCATCATTGGCATCGATGTTTACAAATGATCTGAGTATATTCTTAGGTAGGTCATTTATGTAAATCAAAAAGAGAGTTGGCCGAAAAATGGCCCCGGGTGGACGCCTGCATTGAGCGCTAGGACCACAGAAGGCTGGCTGGTATTAACTACCTTCAGGGATCTGTCAAGAAGGATTTTATAATTGAAAAGACCCTTCCAGTGATTCTATAGCTTGAGAGCTTGTGTAGAAAATCTTTGTGCCACATCTTGTCAAAGGCCCTTGAAATATCTAATGCCATGGCCCTTAATGTGTGTTTGTCGTCAAGAGTATAACTAATTCTGTGTGTAAGGGAGCAGTGGATCGGGCCGATCAAAATCCGCACTGCTCTTTTCACAAGAGGTTATTCCTATCTTAGGTGATCGACAACCTTCTTGAAAATCTTATTGATGATAATGAGGAGACTTTTAAGTCTATACCGGAAGGGACGAGATTGTGTGCCCGCGTTCTTAAAAACTGGGCATACGCTTGATACCTTCCACGGGCTTGGGAATGGTTACTCCTTTAAGCATCGATCGAATATTTTCTCTAGAATTAGGGATAATTCCAGGTTGATATTCATAAGGAAAACCATTGGAATTTTATCAGAGTCAGTGGCTTTCTTAGGGTCAAGGCTTTTGATAAGTACTGAAATGAAGATATTTCTGAGATTGTGCTCAGTAATACGTGGGAAGTTGAGGAGGGGCTGGTTTTGTCGTCTAGCGTTGGTTCTGAGGTAAAGATCGAGGCAAAGAGCTTCGCCTTGCCTGTCGAGGAATATTTGACATCAGGGCCATTTATAATCGTGAACACAGCCGTCTTTCCTCTGTTCATGATTTAGTTGGCAGACTTCCAGAATTCGCGAGATCCAATTTGTTTCTTTTCAACCTTGGCCTGGACAGTTTGTGCATCGCTGCCCTTTGCGTTTTCCAGAACTTTTTTGCAGCGATTGCAGGCGGTTCTGAAAGGAGTAAAGGCCACCCTACACTACTCCTTGCGATAGATATTAAAGTAGTGATTCCAGTGAGCTATGTCTGCAGCGCGTTCAGGGGTGAACCAGGGCTGACTCTTTGGTTTTTGCTGGAATTTTTTTTTTGCGGGGGGGAGGGATAAAACTCTTTATTCCAGAAAGAATCCATTCCAAGAAAAAGGCAGCAGTTTTGCAGACAGCGTGCTTGAAAAAGTTTGAGAGAGGGGCTTCGGTCATATGAAACCGAAAGATGTTCCAGCCTTCTTTCGCGTAGCAAAAATCGTTCTGTAGAACAGTAAATGATGGGATGTCTTTGGTTTGGCATCAATCTGGACACTGACTAAGGAATTATCTCACGTGCCTAGAGGCGGGGCGGTAAATTTTTGCTAGGCATTTATCAAAGAAGAATATTAGAAAAGGTCAAAAAGGTTCGCCTGCTGTCCCGTCGTGCCTGGATATGGGTAAGTTCATAGGTGATGGAGAAGTCTCTGCAATATCTAACTTCTTCATCGGTTTTGTT